AACCCAGCTATCTACTTAACCAAGCCTAGAAATGAATAGTGAATAAGGGAAGAGCAAAGGCCAGTTTACTGTCATTACAAATTACAGAAACTGTTAACATCTGCAGCAAAATGAACTCTGGGAATTACAGGTACTATCCAGTAAGTCAGTCGAGGGTACAGAGATACAGGAAAACTCTGTATACAGATATGAGATCACCAACTGTGTATGTCGTGTGTGTATATTGTTACTATTGAAAATTGGAACATTTGTATAAAAAGACGTAAAGATTTTCTGAATCTTTTCCCAGTACCTTTAATGAATCTTGAGAATGAAGACCAAGTGTAAGGAACGCTCCTTTAGAATAATTGATTGATGGTTATCATTATATAGAAACGTAAATACTAAATCAACAGAAATAATAAATCTGTGCTCACTGTTTTATCTTTTTTTTTTTTTTTTTTTTCCCCAGGAGTAGTCTCAGGGACATGGCTGCATGTACAGTTAATATAAACATTTATACTGAACTCCTAGATGTTTGAAAAACAAATACTGTAAAGATCAGTAACATTCTAAAATGATCAGTTATGGGAATTAACGCTTACAGAAAAACACCATTCTTTCTTGCCCTGCTAGTAGAATCTCATTGTCTCCCTACAGTCTTGTTAGCTCATACTAACTGAAATGCAAATTCTTTCCAACTAATTGGACCTCGTTGAACGTACATGTACAGTACATAGTTATATGCATGTAGATTTTTTTTACTAAATTCCTCTGTAATTATTTTCTTGATTAATATCTAAAGCAGAGACGTGGAACAAAAATCTCTTTAAAGAGTTTACATATTATTGAACATTAAAAAGATAGTAACTGTTGCATGTTTTAACAGCTTAATTAATAATACAGAATAATTGGAACAAAAAGAAGAAAATATTTTTTCGATGTTTAGTCATTTTGGACTATTTGCATTAACCCTTTGACTGAAGTAATTAACACTTACATGATCAGAACAATGGAATTTAGAAAAAATAAGATACGTTTACATTATGTAGCACATTCTGCTGGCTAGATTTTCTTATTGGCATCACCTGGGCTTTCTGTAATCACCTTTCCTATCCTTTCTTGCCATATGGCGCATTTCTGTATCGGTAGTTTTAAGAGGAGCGATGAAATCAACATTGTTATATTTTTAAAAGATTCACAAAGCCACACATGCAATGTGATTGTCTTTGATAGTAAGTAATAAGTGTTAGTGAAAATGAAAAGAAAGAAAAAAACTCTTAACCTCACATACAGTCCACAGAGCACTTAAAATTCTCAAAAAACACAAGTAGACAACTGTAACTGCTTTGTAGTTTTAAGTTCCATTAGAACCTGGATTCTGTAGCCACCTCTTCTATTCAGCACCCGGGTATTCCCAGGAGCTGAAAATGTAAAATAATTTCACAGATCCTTTTATCTTTCAGCACAAATGCCATTGGATAGCAGTAAAATACTTGCAGAGCATATTCCTGATTAAAAATCTATTGAAAATGAGATTTTTTTTTTAATGCTTTTAAAAGGATTTGTTTTAAATGCTGTTAGAGCCCTTACCTTGTCTACACTGTTTCTGATTCTCATATGAGTTAGCCAAAGGGAAGAGAAAAAATGCTGTTCAACTCAGTTTGTGCCAAACTTGTATACTAACAAGTAGTTCCTGTGCTTCCCATAGATGATACGAAGAATATTTCTGCCTCCAAAGGAATTATAGCAGTAAGATGAGGGCAATAGATTACAAAGGGAAATACTGGGTTCTAAGCCTGGATTCTGGTTATTACAACTTTTGCTAAATTTCATGTCCCTTTTGTTTCTTTTGTGGTTTGGGGTTTGTTTGTCGTGTCCCCATGTCCGTTGTGTGTCGTCCCCCCCCCCCATACTGCTGTAGTTAGAGGAGGCTTAATCTGCTACTGTAGGAGGTGTACTTCTGTTGTATTTTTCCTGCAATGATTACTTTTATCTCCTTAGTGACTCCTACTTTTCATATCCCTGTTTGAAATCCAGTAAGTATTTGTTTTCTTGGTTTTATATGCTGGCATTATTGTGCCAAACAAGATGCTGTGTAGGGACAGTAAATTTAAGGATGACCTGGGCTGGACTGCATCTGGCAGACTAAATTTTGCTTCTTTCCAGTTGCGTTAGCTAGCGGTGGGGAAATATTTCTTTCCTTAAAATGTTCTGAAGCTGTGATGTACAAGTCACGCATTTGACAGTTAAATGGTAGCGCTCTTTTGATACAGTGATCTGAATGTGCTTAGATTTCATGTAAGGTTGTAGCATTCTGGCCAAGATTTCTGCTTGGAAAGACCAGATTTGGATGTATTAGCTAGTCAGCCTAATAACCCTGTACAGACTGTATTGATTTTCTAGGAGAGAGTTTATGAACTAAATAAACTTGGAGTTGGTGTCTTAATAAACTGCTTCTCTCAGTCTGTCACATTTAGTTACTGAGCTCTGCAGTTTAGGGGAAAAAAAGGCTAATTCTGTTACAGATTGTTCACAGCAGGGTCTCCAAATTAGCCCTTTGTTTTGTAATGCCACCTTGCTTGGGCTCGCTTTGAGCACATTTCTCAGTTTTACCCTAATGAGTTGCAACACTGATAATGTGGCTGATGATCTTTCATTGATTTCACTATCACTTGCTTGTCTGGTAATTGATCCGTTGCTGAGCCTCTAGTTAATTATATCGGCTTTGACATGGCCCGGTCCACCGGGAATTTCAAGTCTTGCAGAATAACAGTTTTAATAAAAGAGTCTATTACTGCAGGTGCTTGCTGCTGCATGCCAGTTGATTTTGTGTGTGTGTGTGTGCGCGCGCGCGTGTGAGTGTGTGTGCAGGCGCGTGCGTGTGTGCATGCGTGTGTGTGCGGGTGTTTGGGTTTTTTTGTTGGTTTTTTTTTTTTTCTTCCCCCCTGTTCTCTGGGAGAGGAGAGGACTGCAGGACAGGAAAAAGAAGGAGGGGGGGGTGACGGTGGGGGGGTGAGAGGTGGAGATAAAGACGACGGGCGAGAGCGCGCAAGAGATGCAGAACGGAGAGGAGGAAGCTTGCTATTGACAGTGTCCTTAAGCCTCCCACAAATAACAGCCATTAGTGGGAAGGTCAGGAGCTGAGCGTGCAGCTTGACTGAGGCACTGAGTGCCACTTCAGAAATGAAGAGGCTGGCAAATTTTAGAGGG